TGCTGGGAGCCCTGCAATCTCTTTCTCTTCACTTGAGCTCATTTCTCCACTAATGACTTTGCCCTCTGATGCAAGCCAAGGGATCATCAAAGGTCCTTGAAACAAAAAGGGAAATATAGCAATTACTGGGACTTTCATCGGCGAGAAAGAGATTAAAAACCCCGTGGTTGTATAAGCACCCGAGAAGCAAACCGAGATCTGTTTCACTATCAAATGTATATTCAAGCACTTCACTGCAAACGTTATTCATCAACATGTTCTTCCTTTCACCGCTCTCATTCATTTTTTTTTTCCATGCATGATAATAGAATCAAATGTATTATGTATTACTAATCACATGATAAAAGCCTGTGGTGCTAGTAATGCATGTAGATTCCAAAATGCTGTGCATGTACAAGAAAAGTCATTGCCTTTTTAACAGTGGCCTGAGGGAATGGAGTTGTCCCTTAGCCTCCATAACCATTGACACAAAAGGTCCCCTAACAATTTCAAATTACTGCTTTATTTCTCTCTCTTATATAATCCACCCACATTATTAAATCTACCACCTTCTGGGACTTTACTGATACAATAATATTACAGTGCTAAGATGTTTACATTCGAGACGCCAGCTTTCCTTGTTATAAACATGTATGCCCTTAGGAATTGTGCAATACGTATGCATACTACTTGGCCTAAATGAGGCACAGGTCATTTTGTTTTTAAGAGGGGTCAATATTACCTCAAGCAAGGGGCCAAGGCCAACACCAGAACCTGACTGAGCAGAAAATGGCTCCTGATTCTTACAGATGAGATCTATTATACATTAAACATGCTTGTAAATATTCACTAGTCAGACTATTCAAATGGAAAATATGGTTTAGGTCAAAGGTCTATGAAAATGTTGTCTCCAGAGGAAGTCCCCTTAGAATAGAGGCAATGATGATAACAGGGAGAAACACCCATAGGGGACTAGGGAGAACATTAAGAGTTGTTTTACATGTTTGACTGTGGTGCAGCGATGATACCAGGGAGATAAATGATGGGCACTTATTAGACTGGACTGACCTAGAGTTATGTACCATGCCTAATGGAATGTAACACTCCCATCAATTTTACAAGGCCAGGCTGAATTACAATGAATTAGTGTCCAATAAAGTTTTCTAAATAATTTCGTTCAACTAGTTTATTAGCATAAAGGATTTTTTTTTTTTTTTAAATGTAATAATGTCCGAACAGGTATTCTTATTTAACACGACCACGCTTATTGAAATCTATGAATAGCAAAGCGCAGAAGGTACAGAATAATATGTGAACATCAGTTTTATTAGTGGTTTGTCTCACTGACAGGATCACATGGCTTGAAAATTATTTCATCATGTTCGAGTCCAACAGTGGGACCACGGTGTTATCTTCTATTTTTGTCTCTCTCAGCCGTATATTTCAGAGGCCAGGAACAATGTAGTCTGACAGACATATTCTTTATGAGGGGCTCGTGGTCTCTCTAATTTGACACAGTTGTCAGAGATAAAGCTCCTTAGAGAGTGTGGCCATGCTCTGGGTAAGAATGGGGATTAAATTAACACCCCCACCTTCACATTCTCTGACCCCAATACTGGAGAATAAAACATACATGGTGACTCACTTCAACACCCCAGATCTCCCCTCCAACTTCCTCTTTGAATGTATTTGGAGTTTATTCCTAAATAAAACAATGATACTCGGCTTATAGGTTGATATTATTCAAATCCATATTATAAAACAGCTTTGCAAAAGTGACCAAGAGCATAAATTCAGTCTGCTAAAAATAAAAAAAATACATACAAAAATTATTTTTACAATCAAATTTAATTATATGAGGAAACAGTGCTGCATACCTTCGGGCATTTTTTACGATAAATGTGACCAGTAAAAGCAACAGAAAACAGCTTACAGAGTGTAACAATACACTCCCACTCCTCGGTAGCTTCCTATCAAATGACCCGAGCACGTAAAATCAAATCAACACTGGAATGGATCATATCAAATTCTAATGAAAACATAATATGCTCTTAAAATGTGTGTTGGCCCGGCAGCCAGTCATCCAGAGAGTCTCCCCCAGATGACGTGATGAATAGGGAACACCGATGGAATATGCATCAAAGTCGAGCTCATGATTTATGTAATAGCAGTCACTTGGACACTGATTAGCTGCTCTGTCAAGCGTGTAATACGAGAGGCACAACCCCTGGTTTATCAGTCATTTATCTGAAGTGCGTCCTGATATTATCACTGGATCCTAATGTCATCATTATGCCGCACAGCATGTGCGGGCCAGTGTGTCATGGTGCCGGCGACACTGCCTGTCAAGAGTTCAAGCCTCTTCATTTGCAAAATGCTCAGACATTCATAGCACTATGTCAACAGTAAAATAGAGAAGCCACATCATACGAGAGATGGAGGGACAGAGGCACACAGGTACACTAAATAAGTGGACACAAGAGGATACAGGGAAATTTTGTCACCTCTTTGTGGCCGTGGAATTGCTTATATGATCATCAGGCTAATTCTTTTGAGAGGAGTGGAATAACAAAGTGTCAGAGTAAAAAGAACAAAATAACAGGTTGCTTCTTTTTTTTTTCTGCGTCTGCTTCGTGGTTTGATTTAGAGGAATTGACACATCTACTGTACACTTGGTACACAAAAGACCTCCTCAATGTGCAATGTGAGGCCCACAGAGCCATTTTTCCTGATTAAAATGCACACTCACACACACCACTGTGTGAGACGATGGCGGTTGTTCAGTCTGTCAGGACTTTCCTGTTCTCCTAAAGAATATCTGATATCATAAATGACTTCAACTCCTCCCACGCCAACATGCGAGCGAGGCTGCAAACACAGGAAAAGAGAGCAAGACACAGACTGCCAGTATATGACTGAGCTATGACAATCATACATTACCGGATGGACAAAACTGCTAATAAACAATCGCTGTCATTATTACAAAAAAAGGTTAGGGCTGTTATTCTCGCAAACATCTGGTGCTGTACACTAAAAGGAAGCTGTGCAACGTATAAGTCCGTCAACACCTCACACAAACAAAAATAGTGAGGGAAACTGAACAGGAAAAGGAGCTCTTTGAGTCCCAAACAAAAGATATCAGCCCGGCTGCCAACACAGACAGGGCACCACACCTTGGCAATGATGCCGCTCACAATCAAAGGAACAGTCGTCATCAGTGGAGCCGTGTTTTTAAAGGATATCTTTAAAAGATTGAAAATATGTGTCATTATGGAAAACAATTGAGCCTGGAGCTTTTAGTATACCGAGTTGTTATGTCACTCACACGCACTTTAGGTTGTTTATTTCAACACATAATGGCAAATATGCTTCCTGTTTTTTAACATTAGAATTTTTGCACACCTCATAATAAATGTATATGATTGTAAAATGTGTAAAGCAGACTTGATGAGCCGGTGGTAATTAAGATTAGCACACAACAAAAATTGCATTACAAAAAAATAAATAAATAATAAAATCTGTCTTAGAAAATATTTAAAATTGCACATTTCTGTCATTTTTAGTAAATGCAATAAAGCAAACACGGAACGGCTTTAGTGGTTGCCACATATGATAATTGTCTGGCCACTGAATGCAGCATTAAAATGATTTCAAACAGTATGGCTCAGAAGATCCAGCAGAGGGGGCTGCTTACTGCAATCATATGCTGATTAATTGAGCTTGATTCTCCCCATGCTGCGAACATAAGTTGTCCCACACTGTAGGCTACATGTTGGTATGTGGTTAAAGGTTACAAGGCTTTATCGAAGTCACCTTTTACCACAGGTAGCCCCTCACATCATTTTTGATGAATATTAAGAAAACACTGATTTTCTGATTATCCCTCATCAAGCCTATATCAAACTAGGTTATGTTCATTTTTATTAATCGTGCATGTTGCTCTCTAATTAGCTAATGAGAGACAAAAAGCAGGTTTAGAGCAGAAAAATGCAAATGACTCTTAGAAAATAGCACAAAAAAGTAAATGGCAAGGCTGAGAATCATCCTTCATTGAAATGTCAGAGATAAATGGCTCAAATGTCACATCAATTAAAACGGGGGACAGTTAGTAGTTCATTAAAGAGAGAGCCATATTGCACCGTCGGGTACCGTTGCCAACCCTTACTATCTGGGGCAGACTGGCAGCGGGTCCAGATGGCACGGAAATCCTCACAGATTTCAAAATGGTCTCTGCAGGGGTGGCGTTTTCTCCCCCGCTCCCACCCTCACCGCTGAGATGGGGTGTGGGCCACAGGCCCATGCCGGCCTACACATTCCAAACGGAGGCATGCAGAGAGCTGAAGGCATCACAGAAACAAAAAAATAAAGCTCCAAAGGACAACAGACAGAAGAAAAGAAAAATGCGTGACTGATGCCACACACTTGGTCATAATGACTGAAATATATGCTTCCACTTAATCTATGACTGCTCCAGGCAACATAAGGCAACCCCCCCCTCTCCTTTAAACGGCATAAAAACTCTAATAAAAGGATTGAGTGCTGCCCCATGTGTTGTTCATAATACTGACTTTATTAGTTGGTAATACATAAGGTGTTATTGGTTGCTGCAGTCACATAGGTGTTTTTTTTATCCACAAACATTACGCTTGAGACCCTAAAGACCTCACTGAGAAGCTGTCACAGGAGATGCAGAATTGGATAAATGTCTCAGCAATAAGTGGAAAGATAACAGTGTTTGAAATTAATGCTCAAAATATGCATTATCATATTTTTTCCTGCTGTAAAAACATCAAGCAAATCAAATATCTAAATCACTACCATTACTAGTCTTCGGCGTACTGGGGACCCCCTGAAGGACCCCAAATCCCAACTTGAGACCTATTAGAAAAGCCTTCTTCTTATGTCTGTCCCTGGCAGAGGGGAGGAGCGGAGACTTTCTCTGGACCAATTACAGAGCGAGAGCGGACTTTTGCCTCTCGTGATTGGTCGGCTTGACCACGCTGCCTTGAGAAACAGGAAGAGTTCTGCTTTGACATGTGTTTTGCAGAGGGGGGAAGAGGAGTGGGCATCGCAGAGACACCGTTTGGATGCACAAGGTTAAATTTGTAAGCACCGGCGTTAATTTACAGCGTTAAACTTTCTCTAACACAAGCTAACAACATACACAAAGCAGAAAGTACGCGTACGCTTAAGCTAACGAGGGCTAGCGTTTGCCAATACGCCTTTCAGACACGAACTCTCGCTTGTTTATGTTATTGTTATGATAGGTATATTTTTACGTTAAAAGAGATACTCACCCAAGGAGCCGTCATCTGAAACAGCACATTAAGGACACATGTTGCATTTTTACACCTGCGCAGTCACGGGGCGCTTTCTACTCAATTAATCACGCAGGTTTGACCAGGAACTAGTCTAATGAGAAACGAGTCAAATGATTGACGAGCATGAGGATGCCGCCAGTGATTTTTTTTTCTTTTTAACAACACAATCTGCTTATTGTTTGTTGTTCCTCACCGTGAAGAGCTGGGTAAACACCCAGGCACTCACTTAGACTACTCTACTGCACCGAAAACGGCACAGAACAAACATGATAGCATTATTTTTAATCAGCGCAGACTATTAGCCAAGGCCATTATTGCCAAAGTCCATTATTCTATCTATGAGTCTATTACCATCTTGCTAAATGGCACGGAGTGTGTGCAGCGCTTATCCAAAGTGCACTGTACCATTGTTTGGCTCAGAAAATTTCTCGCCTTTATTGTCAGTTCAGGCAAACCCCTGATGAATACAGTGAGAGCTGCAAGAGTAGAAACAAGAAAGTTGAAGCAGACGCATTTGTGATCACATACCATGACAGATGTGGTGGTGGTGGTGGTGTTGGTAGTATGCGTGTGTGAAGTGCGGATGGGGGGGTGGATACGGGAGTAATCTAAAAATAAAAGATATCCATTCTTAAATTAAAAGTAGAGTGTGCAATGAGCAGTGAAGTGTTTTTGTTTTGCTTTGTTTAAGGGCTACAGCTTGTGATTATTGTTTTATTAAACAGTCTGTAATTTTCTGAAGCTCAAGGTGTCATTTTCTCCACTTCACAGCTCCCCAAAATTCAGTTTACGAGCAATGAAGACAAAGGAAAGAAGAAAGTGCTCTTAATTTGAGAAGGTGGATTGTTGAATACTTTTATTTTTCGTAAAATAAATTAAAAAAAAAAATCAAATAAAAGGATTAATTATTGAAGTAGTTACCAGTTGTGGTTAATTGTTTCATCTGTAGTTTGTTTTGTTGCTTTGTTAAATAACTAGTGCACAAGATTTCACTTGGTGAGCATTGAAAATTTGATTATGGGACCTAAAAATGTTATAAAAGTCAGTTTAGCAGAGAAAGAGTTTCACATTTGTTAATATGCTAGCCTGCAAAAATTAAAACAATTAGTCATTAAAAAAAAATTGTTATTGCTTTTTTAATATCATTCCCTCTTTATAGTCTGTTTTGAAACTTTAATTGTCATGTGTCATTTTTATTTGCTGTTTGGTAATTAAATGCAACAAATAATAATTCATAATGAAAATAAAGTCTAGTCAAAGCAGTACACAGCTTTCATCAATGTACACACACGTGCAAGTTAACCATTTAAAAACACGTGGTATGTGTAATATTGAAAGCAAAAATGGAGATATTGCATTTGTGCACTTTAAACTTTTCAGATCATCGTTCTGGGAAGGAAAGGTTACTTGTTTGAAACTTACAATCAATGTGACCTTTATTTATTATAACCCCCATCTCTCAAAAACTCACATATAACATAGTCAATCATCTCTCCTTCCCTCAAAGTAAAAATAAAAAAGGAACTGCTGTCTGGTTATTGCCAGTATCCATCTCAGTCGTCAGAAAAGCTGCACGTTTTTGCTGTTGTTAAGGGCTGGAAACCAGAATCCCATCGGAGTTGCACCCTAAGGAACAAATTTAATGCTAGAAAAACATCCCGGCCATCAACCAAAAATGACGGATTGAAAATAATGTCGAGCTATCTTGGGAATCCCCCACCAGACAAGGGAACAGACTGCATTGTTTTTCTCATTTATGTGATATATAGAACAGAAAGAGGGGAAAAAATGGGCGATTTATTGGTTAGATAGGCGTATTCTTTTCCATACACAGAAGAAATATTGGATAGTAATGTGGGGATCAAGTCACATCATGACATTGTTTGGAGGCAAGGTGTTCAAATATGTAAGTCATCTTCCGTTGGTGGCCCGCTAGGTTTTCAATAGATCATTCAATGCAAATATGTGTGGGAAATTGTGAAAGTTGCCACATGAATATGTCAATGAACGTAGTGTAATTTGTACTTCCTCAGCAGGGCAGCAAGATGAAGAAGCAGGGGGAGAGCCAGTGCACTCAGAAGACCATCTCATTGCTGAGCCCCCTGGGGACGATCCAAGTCAGTGGATGTGAGAATGGTGTGCACACCATCCAGATCCTAATGGATGTCGCACCTGCTGAAAGGTACTGTACAACAGCCGGGCTGGTGACGTGATAAACAAAGGTGTGAAATTTACAGGCAGACAGAATCCACTCCTGTGATGGAGTGCCACCATTCCTCATTGGAAGCAGGGCATTTTTGTAGATCCCACAAGAAATATCCTGGAGAAAGTTGGGCAAATATGAGCAGGCACTAGAAATATGAGGGGCACTAGAATACAGTTGGGCTTGAAATTAGATTTCTGATGGCATGTGGTTGTGATTCTTCCTGCAGTATATTTGAAATTTCAGAAAAATAACTTGTTTATTACCCACAAGGGAGTTGATTAGAACTGATGTCTGTAGGGTCAGCAAAGGCCACGGGGAGCATGGACTGTTCTCTCCTGTTTATTTATGTTTCCTTCAAGTTGTATGCAGTAGTTCTGAGTGTCGACTGACACTCAGAAATGTAATATGTGATTGCATTTCTCGGCCTGCCCATCCCTCAAAAGTGTCAGGAACGTTGACAGTCTTACTGAAGCGATTGAAACTGATTAAAGGCAGCATTAATAAGCGCCTCTTCCTTATTTTTACAGGTCCACATCCTACAGCTCAGAGTAGTTTTGATTAGATTGAAATTAAATATCCATGTATCGCAGATTCACATTTGATAAACTTGAATGGTCGGGGAAATTAAACGATTTCCAAATGCACCCGGATAGGAAGTTATCCTTTTGAAAATGTATGTTCAAATTCTAATTTATGGAAACCCATTAATGACCTTGTATATTATACCTCAACATGTGTTTCCTTCTCGACTGTCTGCTATTTCCTAAAATTCATCAAGCAGTAAAAAACATTCCACTTGTTGTTAATGAGTTGAAGTGAGAAAATTAATAATATGGAATTTTGATTATGGAAGATGTCCTGTAACCATGCACAAGCACCTTTCTCCGTCTCCTTGTGAACAGGGTTTAATTTGTGTGTTCAGGTTCAGTAGGAATATGCAAATGAATTTAATGATTCGCATCACTAGATCATTTCTCACTTTAATATCATTTGCTATGTCGGTCATAAGTGAAGCTCTGATCACATCGCTGTATGTTTGCAAAGGTGTGAGCTTCCCACCACCCCCACCCAAAAAAATAATTACTAGTAAAAATGTTTAGATTTTATCTCAACCGGTTGAATATATTGTTATTGTCACAGGACGGGGAAACTAGAGCCACCTTAGATATATGTAGTAACGCAATGTAAACAGGCATTAAGGGAGGCGAGATAAAGTGACAAAATACAGGCTTATCTTTGCAACCGGCTTTACATGTAGATCTCACCAAAGCCCGCCTGTAGCAGTAATAGTTCAGATCAGCCATTTCTATTGATTTATTTATGACATACTAAACAAGGCTCTTTCCAGCTTCGGATGTGTTGTGGTACAGGCTTAGAAAGTCACTGTGATAAATGATCTCTAAGAGCATATTTTAGATATGGGAAATAGATAATGTCCATTCATAGAAAAAACTCAGACCTATAGCAGATATTTGCCAACGAGCCAGAGCTTTGAAGGCTTACATGGCCACGTTTGCCTCCTGCGTTTCTCAGACTTCACTATTGCTTGGCGTTGAACAGCTGGGCCAGCAACAGAAGCATTTGTGGCATTGATAGATAGTTATTGATAAATGCCATTATAGCTACATAAACGCCCTTGAAGTATTGCTTACACACCATGACCGTCAGCTCTTTCTAATAGAAACGTCTCAAGCCCCTTTTGCTTCCTAACTGATCTTAGGAACATTTCCTGAAATCAACCTCCTCTGCCAGTCTAACGACAGCCCTGAAGGCACCATCAGATGAACAAATTCATTACATCTCAACAACCCCTGTTGGGGCCCTACGCACCAGCCTCCCTGTTAACCAGTTTTCCCCCCCTTTAGTTTTTAGCATGGCCTCAGCGTTCACAGAAAAATGATACGCATTTTGTTTACAGGAGATTACTATTATCTGAAATATGATGCTTCTTGCCTCTTTCACACAGAGCACAGACACATAATACAGAGGAAATCATAGAGCACTTTTTTATTAGGGTGAAAAATGAAAAAAAAGGGCTGGACTCCTGCCCCGAGACATTTTGTGAGCATATTATTTTACAATGCTTTGATCAATTTGTCTGTCAAGCTGGCTGAGATGTGGGGGAGCAGGAAAAAAGCAATTTAGCTTGTGAGGTCCTCAATAGAAATGTACTACAGGAGCCTGTGTATGACATGTTGCATTAGAACCTGAGTAGCCTTTATTGCCTGATAATGTTGCAAGGCAATGCTGATATCAATCACCCTTTAACAGCCAGTGTGATGTGTTTTTATGAAAAAAGGAAAAAAAAAAACAGAAATAATGCATGAAACATTTTTTGGAAAATAATTGATTTAATTCAGAGCTGAGGGATTTCTACTTTTAACAACAAAAAATATTGTGTTGGTAAAAACATGCACAAAATGTGCTAGAAGCTAAAAATTGTTAGGAACAAGATCTTTTCGCATATGCTCCTATAGAAAATTGTAATTAATTTTACACGGATAAACACTTCTGTCTCATTTGCATATAGATATAAACAATATATTTGTGCATCTGAATTCCCAGCACACTCGGGTCACGTGATCTGCCTAAAATCCTAAGTGGCTAAAACCAAAAATTATCATTATACTTCCCAGGCCATAAATCCTCCCCCCCCCTCCCCGATTTTTTTTCTCTGACACAAAGCCTTATAAATCTGTGTCTGATTTTTCACATTGCACATTGTTTTTAGTTAATGATTTTCATCTGTTTGTTGTTGCTGTGATAGCGGGGAAATGTACCATATGCTCTGGCAAAAGACAAATGATTAGCAAATGAAATTCTGGACAGCTGTCTGACTGAAAGCGTTTGGTTGATAGCATTCTGCTACCATAATTAGCTTAAGCTTTGGGTTAATTAACTTTCTACCTGGATATGCATAATAATAGCATTCTGGAGAAAGCCAAGGAGCTTCCAGTATATCAGCAGCAAAGGCTGGCTTTTTATTTTGTATTTCGGCTGCATATTTCAATTTCAAGAGGCGATTTAGCTCGGGAGCATCGTCAAATATTGTAGATTTTACTCCCCAAGCCAGATAATTCTGAAACAATAGGGGTGTATTATGTGGCAGAAATGCCATTTCTGAATGTAATTAAAGCGGATGAAAGCAATCACCGATTTTTAAACGCTTTTGTCTAGCATGAGGCCTACTTGTAAAAAAATACCCATCAAGAGGAGAAAAGAGGCAAGAGAACCCCCAAGTCCTTATATAAGAGGCCTTTGAGACTGAAGTGAAGTACAACAGTAATTAGTCTTTTGTATGAATTTGCTGGCCATGGTCATGATTAGTTAAGCATATGAGAGGACTGCAGGACTGCATTGCTCTTAAGGAGGAGGGTGTTAAAGTCTATTTATCACCAGTTATCCTCACAGCTTTCCATTATCACTGACAACACTGGATGGGGCCTGAGAACAGCCTAATTGTTCTGAGGTGGAGTGTTTTTGTGTCAAATCTGCCACCCCACTCACATTGGCATTCATAAGCAGCCAGACATTTTCCATCTATCTATCCCTAATACCCAAGCTGTCACAACAGCTTTTACACACTACCAACGCTAGTGTGAAATATCTGAGGTGATGCATTTATCGTTTTTTGGGGTTTTTTTCTTCTCACACTCATGTAGTGTTGTGAATCAATGTCCTGGTTCACGCTGAATAGCAGCATGGCAAATGTGTTCCTTTTTTTTGAGGGGCCTGTTTACATGATGTGCTCACACACCGGGAAATATAACAACTTTTTTTTATTCCACTGTAATTTTTCTCTCCGCTTCTCCATCTATGGTGTATTTCATCTAACGTAGGATTTTGTTCATTTAAATTATAATTTTGCTTGATATGTAGATATATACATACATATATATATATATATATATAGACACTGCTGTGTGCTAAATAAACTGCTTACATTTGTAACTAAAATGCTTTGTCATACAAACCATGAACTGCTGAGATATTGAATGAAATCATCAATAAAGCAAGGAGAGACTTTTTGACGGAGTCCCTTTAGAAACGGTATGAATAATTCATTGTGTAATGATATTCTGATGATTTTTGTTCTATTTTTTGCTGCGGCCTTAGAATATTGTTTTGCATGTTGTGAAGTGTAGTACTCAGCTGCGTATTCATTAAGGTGCTGCTCCCACTGGCCCTTGGACCCATCTGTGCTCTATGTTTATGCCTCCGTCTCCCGGGACCGTCCCAATCAGGCTGCATGTGCCATTTCCTGTGTAAACCAACACCTGTGTAACACACTACCTGTAAACCGCCCCACACAGACGAGACACTGACATTCACTCAGATGAAAATCTGCAAATGTTGTGGTTTCTAAAGCGGAGCCTCCAGGGTGAGGTTTTGAGTTGAATGAGAGTTGCTGCTCACTGTGGAGATGCAGCTAAAAGCAGCTCCTGCAGTTTTTTTGTTTCCCTCCCCTTTCCCTGCTGTCGACCGGGAACTTTTTCCAGCATAAGGGTTGCGCTAGTTTGTTTTAGAACTTGATTGGATTCTATATCTGCAACATGCAGAAGTGTACAGTGTGTGACATACTAAGGCAATATGCAGAGAGATGATTCCGCTCTGACATCTTGGAGAGGAGTACGAGTCAATTATGCCCAAGTGTTGTTCTTGCTTATCTTCCTGCGGCACCAAACAAGGATTTAGTCAAGGATTTAGGGGTGAGGGGGCGGTGGTGGGGATCATGGTAAGCGGTTCACAACAAAACACTCAAAACTCTTGGGAGCGGGCACTGATTTAAAAATAAATTACAGAAGACGAAGCGCTAACACTCAAGGGCCCTCAGCAGTGCTGGCGTACACAGGTGAAGATTAGCCTCCTCGCTAATCAGAGGAACAAGGCAGTAATTTGCTCTGAACACAGACAGTAATTAGGACTTGGTGACACTGGATTCCCATAATGCCTTTGTGCTTGACGTGGTCAAATTTTGACAGAGGCTATCCATGCAGGGTCACTGTCCCCCCAGTCTCCCGGCCCTCTTCAGTTGAGGCTCTAAAAGGTCCCTGCAGTTACAGGGGATCCCTAATGTACTTTATGCCTCCCTCACTGGCTCCTTACCATTCGGGTAATTGGAGTCTCTTACTGTGGCACTTGAGAATAGAGGCTAAAAACGCTATTTGAAACTGCTCAGTAGTCTGTTGTAGATAAACATTGCGGCGTCGGGGTGTGGATACACTACATAATGGAGTAAGAGTTAAGGCTCTGGTAATACATGCCTTCACTGACTCCTGTGGCTAGCCAGTTGGGAGAAGACCTAATTGTTGTGTGCTTTGTTGCCTACTCTGCAGTATTTTACCACCACCTTTATGTATTGGATTGAGTGTTGCAGCCTCTTTGGCGGACATTCACTAATAAGAGTTGCGGGATATCTAGAGAGCAGTTTATCCGGCCCAGTTGTTTTTATTTTGAAACAGCGGAGCACAAAACGTGCACCCCAGAACAGAGTAGGAAGCATTCCTAACAGCTTCCCACTCCAAAAGCTCTCGAGTTTAGTGCTGCACTGCCTAGATAGGCATCTGAATGATCTTCCGATGGTTGAACGAGCTGCATTGAGCAAGTGGCTTACAATTGTATCACAGCCTTTGGCTCAGAGACCATCAGGATCTTGACATTCATAGAGACATGCTGTATTTTTTTCCCTTTTTAGACAGTCATTTTAGGCTTTTTTCATGCTCTCTTGAGTCTTTGACGTCTCTGAGTTAAGTATCTGCAGCTATAAGGCTGAGGAAAATATTGGACTGCTCTTGGCCTTTTCTATTTCATCCTCTGACCCGCCATGTTACCCATGATCGGTGAAGGAGAACTCTGGCAGGCTGTGTCAAAAGTGACAGCCGATCGAGTCAGGATGAGCGCCATCACGCTTCACAGGATGGAGGCATGAGTTCTGAGTTTTTCCCCTTTTAGTGCAATATACCATTACACCCTTCGCCAGATTCCTTTCAATTAGATTCTGTGGTTAACCTGTTTCATTCTTACGTCTGCAGCTGATAGAAAAAGTCTTACTGAAGTCTTGTGCAACTAGAGATACAGAAAAAGACTAATTTAATGTCAGCTATTCTTTTCTTTTTTTCCCCTTTGTCTCCTTTGATTGTTTCTTCCAGGATGAACAAAATAGCCTCCAACATTGTATAAATGCTCAATTCATTCTTTATATTAGAGTTGGAAAACGGGTAGAACTCCAAATGAGTCCCACTTTACGCAACAATGATTTATGGTAATTGGAAATTGATTGTGACAGGAGCACAATATTAGAAAATTTCTCAAATCGCAATCTTCTATCAAGGGAAATATTCTTTTTAGTGCAGCAGATCCTCGGCTAGTTTGGAATTAGTTTCTGATTTCTTTACCTGTGATGAAATAGTAAATGGCTGAAGGACATGGAAAAAAATATGATTTATGTAGTCAAAAGATAATAAAATAACAATTCTTCTTTAACCCAATTTGAATTGTTTGTTCTAACGTCAGCACACTCGCTACACACGTTTATTAAAATACTCTTTATAATCACTGCTAATTATAATTCTTGGTTTTCATAGAGCGTTGGCAGTTACTTTAGTACAACATAAAGATTGTTTCCCCTTGGAGAGTTTTGTTGTAATTAGTCCGACATTTATTAGACATCTCTAATCTCTCATTTGAAGGGCACAGCTTCTAATGTGCCAGTCTGGACTCCATAAAGATCACATGATGCTGCCTGATTTCTGATTCACTGAAGCGGCTGGAAACGTTGCGAGCACAAGTGCTACATCTCCACTGCCCACATGCTCTTTTAAAAACAATCCCCCATTGCACCTAGAGGTGACAGACTTCAGCTCAACTGATGTTGTTCCCCCCCTTTTATTTATTTATTTCCTTGTTGTTTGCCAGCCATAACATGTACTGCATTGCATTAACTTTTACTACTGTCAATGTTGTATCAGTCAAACACCTTTTAAAAACGGGCGCATCCGTAAGCTGGGAGGAGAGGAAAATTAGCCACAGTGACAAGTCTGAAGTGTAAGCACAAGGTCAAAGGTGCCAAGCCTTAAGCAAAGGTGCACTAGCCTTTGTCCGGTAGATTGTAAGGGCCTGCGGGTCCAACAGGAACATTTCCACACACAATATCCCCGAGCTGTCAGTGTGCAGCGGCTGGAACATCCTCTCGGAGAGAAAGAGAGGGTGTGGAGGGGTAGAGGAGGTGGTGGTGGTGGTGTGAGGATGCGTGTTGTGGGGGGGTTGAGGGTGTGTAGAGAGGGAACAGTGGCCTGAAGATCCTTGCTGAGAGAAAGAGAAGTTGGGGGATGGTGGGTGTGTGAGTGTGTGTGCGTGTCGGGGTGTAGGTGGTGGGGAGCCAAAAGAGCTGGAGTGGGAGGATAGAGCAATAGAGAGGGGGAAATGAGGAGGGAGAGCTGGGGGAGGGAGGGGAGGGAGGGGATAGAAAGGAGAGACAATGACAAGTAGGGGCTGGCTGGGCACTCACCCATGCCGACAGAGATTGCCATGAGCCATGGCCATTGTTTGAGCGGGTCTCAGCACAGAACCCGCTGGTGGGTTTCCAAGTTTTCACCACTCAACTATAAACTGCTGTGTGGTTTATTTAGAAATGAGAGTATTTACACCTTTTACTGTATTTACACCCACTGTTAAACGGCACCCGGGAGATTTTTATCACACGGCCACAAACTAGCAAGCAGAGTGGTTTCTCTGAAAACTGACCTGCTCAGTCATAACACTCCAGTAAACCTCAGCTTCACGTGTCCAATATAAAACGCAGCTCAAACTGTGACCTGCACAAGTGTAAAAACACTTTAGGGCCGCGCTGTTACGGCGTGCAGGAGAGAGACGGTCTGTGTGTTTAACAAAGTAAATGTCTATTATTAATACCGTACAGGACAAGCCAATTTTGAAAAAAGGGGGCACTTAAATGGTGGTATTATTTATTTATAAGTCCTGTACACCAGTTAATGGAATTGGCGGGCCTGCTTTAGATCCACAACACAGCTTGAGGTCCACTTTGGAGTAATGCACATGCTAAGAGAGGACTTTCCCAGTAGGGTCTTTAAGTGTCAAATATGGGTCAGTCTGCTTGCATTGACCTAGGGGGTGGTCAGCAGCAGAGAGAAATTCAGCTGTTAAGTGATGCCAACTCAACCGTCGGCAAATTCCTCCAAGCATCTACTCAAGCTAAGATGCATGTCCAAGTGCGGCGCTTTTCTGGCCAACATCGCTCTGGCCAAAAAAATCCATTTATTCTTGTCATGAACTATAAACTAGACCCAAGCAGAGTTGAAACTGTTGTTAATGCTGTGCTCTTAACTTTTGTCTGCTACTTTTCTGTTTTAAGAAACCGTTTTTTCTCCCTTAAAGTAGTTTGAAACGAACTGTTAGCTGTTTCTTATGACCTGACGGTTGTTTTTTTTGTCTTTTTTTCCCTTTCGTACTCTATTATATCTACTCTTGAGAAAATTCTGGATTCTGCCTTTTTATCTTCCCGAGGTTTATTCTGTCTTCCAAAGCTCTGGTATCCGTCAAAGCCGAGCGACATGCAAAAACGTACAAGTTCAGATTTTAAACACGTCTTAATTTACAACTTCAGTTCCACTCAGCAAATTATGTCATCTTGCATCTTTGTCACTCGTGGCATGTTATTACACTCTTGTGACATATTTAGCACTGTTCAAGCAAGAATTGGGTATTATGATTGCTCCTCTGATCCCCACCTCACCTCCCCATCCTGCCTTATATCCCTCACAGGAGCAGCGGGGGCCCCCTGAGCTGTGTGGTCAACGATAGCCTGGCAGAAACGAGCCCTGAGTTGCAGCGCTGCGTTGAATGGCTCCAGGCGTACTTCAGTGAGCCGCAGACCACTGGGAGTCTCCCGCTCCCTGGCTTTCACCACCCCGCCCTGCAAGGAGGTCTGTCATGGATAAATATTTGCAGAGCCATGACTGGGATCAGGCTTTCACTCTTAATTGTCAGTTACATCACTTACACTCACTGGCTCAGTGTGTTATAATGAAGTATTTTATGGCTGAGAGAGAGAGCGCGAGAGAGAGCGAGTGTGCGAGGAAGAGAGCGAGAGCAGAGGAAAAGTGAGTGAGTGGGTGAGTGAAAGGAGAGAGAACAGAACACAGAGCTGTAACTTGGTTCAGTAATCTGTGGCAGCTCTTACCACGCGTGTTAGTCTTGGCAAGCTTTTCCATGATTCTTGGCACATTCTTTGAAACTGATCGAATTCCACTCTTGACATTTTCAGACAGGAAGCTTTTTTTTTTTTTTTTTCTTTCTAATGAGAACATGTGAATGGTGGTAAAGTTTGAATGAGCTTATTGTTGGCTTGATCAGTCACCTACTGTGAGTGAAATGAAAGCACTCCCCAAAAATGGACAATTAGCGTCCTTTCAACCGGTAGCTTCGGCGAGGCGAACGACTAAAGATGCAGAGGAAAACAAGAAAACAAAAGCAAACAAAATGAATATTTGATTGCCAACCGCGGTTTCGTTTCGAGGAAATAAATAATATCGTAGCCCGACGACTCATTTTTGAGATCGTAAACAGAAATTTGTTTTCAAAACAATTGCGGGCTGCTCCTTTGTCACACTGAGATGCTCATCGCATTTTAACTGAAAGATTTTCAGAAGCTCTCATTTAGACACAGAAGCACACCTACACAGGGAAAAAAATGACTTTAATATATGCATTTAACAATTGTGCCTCTCTTCCCCTGCAATCAGGCCTTAGTTGCTCTCTAATTTCATGCAGATCTGCAGTGCTTGAGTGATGGCATTTTCAATGAGCAGGTACTCCATCGAGACCCTGTATACAGCTATGAGTCCCACGCTCCCGCAAAGGCAATGCAGAAATACATCAGGACCAATTACGATATCAACTTTCAGTGTGATTCCCTTCGCCACCAAGTGCTTGTGTACCAGCCCCAGGCTCTTTCAAATCGCATCTCATCTGAAGTCTTTGGGGTTTTAATTAAATTTCAGGATAGATGGAATTCTTCATTAGTACCTGATCTGAATAGGTGATTGTGCTGTGTTCCACCTCTCTCCCTCGCCTGTTGTTTTGGGGCTCCGTAAATACAGGGTTTAGGCTTGGATTGCTCTCAGTAGTCAGAACCATAGGCCATGCCAGTATAAAAATGTTAAATGTGAGCATCAAGAGTATTTGTCTTTTCAGGGGAGGAAATGGAGGGTTCTTTTTTTTCTTCTTGCTTGTTGATTCACAAATATTAAGTATCTTTTCTTTTTGCCTTATTGCTGTAAAAATTCCTCCTCGATCTAGTCGTGCAGCCTCTGCCTGCCTGGGAAAAAAAAAGATACAAGTTTAATCAGGTCATTACAATCTGTGACAACCAACTTTTGTTTGCTCAGTTATCTTGTGGGAGAACCTGAACGCAACAGCGCTCTCGCAGCACTTGTCATGTAATATTGAGTTGTGACCTTCACTTGAAGTGTTGCCATGTTTATTTACACATTTCTGACAAAACAAGCCACTTTTCATATTAGCTGTCACGATATACCTGAGAAACAGAGGTGACATGAAAGGAGATGCGAGGTGCAGTTTTCTATACCGTCTCGACTGATTGTCATGCACAACATCACACGCAAGTTTGGTCGGCGGGGGTAAGGGAATGGCGAGCGCTCTCGCGTGCGTTATGCTCAGTTAGCTTGCGTTTGCGCCTGTGTATGTGCGCTGGCTGCCTCAGAAAAACACAGACACCAACGTGGGTTCTTAAAACGATGCATATTCTTATCTCATTAATTATACATCCATATGTAACAGACGAGAGGATCTTAGTCTCGGTAAGCGGCGCGGGGAATGTGCGGGGAGGGGGCCGTGCAAAGGGGGGGAAGGGCGCTCTTCAAAGCCCAAATGACTGTGTTCCTGCAGGAGTCTGAACCTCCCCCTGTGCACAGCGCAGGGCGAGATGAGACACTCACCAGGACTCGCCCCTGTGATGTGGAGAGGAATTAGGGAAATGAACGTTTTCAGAATATCGAATAATCAGAGAATCATCAGCACCCCGTCAGCCTTCAAAAGTATGGATCCCTCAAGACTCAAGAGACACTTTGACTGGGAGTCAAAGTCTTCCCTCCCATTAGACACAAAGGATAATGAGGTAGCTGCATTTCCACTATTGTCTTTTTATTCGCACCACCATGTACGAGGTGACTGTCAGCTGGAAGTCATCTCTCCAAATCTATCATTAGCAGGGCTGATGGATTTCAGTTTATTGTTTTCCTTTTTTTGGCTTTCAAATTGCTCCCATACACAGAATTATGAGCAAATCAATCATATATGTCAATACCATCATAACTGCCGAACGTGTTCGATTTTACTCCGGGTAAATCCATCGCAGCCGCAGTGGCTCTGTCACCTGGCCTCATGGCAGGTAATGACCTGTGACATAATTATGGGGATGTCTGTAAACATGTAAGTGGTTCCTCTCAACTTTTATTTAAACAATTGACACCAGTGCTCCTCGATCTAAAGAGGGTCCTGACCCCAGACACACCGTATTAGGCTCTTTATGAAGTATGGGGCTAGGGGACTGCTCTCCAAGTCATTGCTGGTCCCCTCGAGTGACCTGCCTGAAGTCTCTGTCACAGCCACTGATGAGGGCAAAGTTCTTTAACCTTTGTGCCCCGCAGATAAAAGTACAGACACTTTTTGTCCAGAACTGTAGGAGATGTGAAAGCTTCCAGGAGAAACAGCTGCTCGGGATTAGTCAAAGGTGTACACAGCGCCATAGCTTGTTGCTCGGTCTGTTTGTAGGCAAAAGTTCTCGTCTGCGTCTGCCGGTGTGACTTTGGTTGTTTGTCAATAACGTTTGCATCACTGTGGATTTGTCGTAGCTGCAGTCTGGGCAAGTTGTCATCTACCCCGCCGGTGACAAAAGCGAAATCCTTATGTATCACACACATCATGTGGCCAAATCCGAGCTTTATGAGGGAGAGTAATGCATGAAAGGAATTTCAGGGGTGTATCTCATCTCCTCATAACATTAAGTCTGTCTGCATAAGAGCCCGTCATCTCGTTGACAGTGTGATTATTACCTGAAAAATTATTAAACAGTACCTACGGGCCTTGTTCAAGACAAAGAACTCACATGGGTGTGCATCAATCAAATGTATCCCCTTTAGGTTTTACACTTATTCCCCCCAGTTTAGGCAAATTGCCTTGTTCGCGTGGCTTTGTGTAGCAGAGAGTGACTATAAGGTAGCGAGGGAGCCTGGGGAGCAAAGGATGTTCACTCTGTAGAAGAGAGACAGGGGTGTGACATGTTTTCACACAATGCCAATTTAGAAGGATTTCACATAGATCACTTGTCATGTGCTCTCTTAGACCATATAAATGAGAGAGAATGGGAGATCACTAATTGAATTTTCATGACTGAGTACATGTATATACTAGAAGAAATTCACCCCCTCTTGATAACGAGACCATTGTTCCTCATCTTGTTCTCAGTGCAGAAAAAGAGTGTTTTGTGCTTTCTGCACAACCTCGGTGCATCGGCGTCTTAAGGTTTTTGAGATGCCTCAAATACTTTTCTTCAGCAATCAGAGCTAGACAAACATGCCTCTCAGTCACCGCCTGGTAATCCAGAAAAAAAAAAAAAGAAAAGATAATGCTACTGCTAAAGTGCTAATGAAATCAAAGCCGTTAATGTGGTTGGTTAAGCTGTGGATGATTTGAAGAATTCTGCCATTTAAGTGAAGATGATATAATGAATCTACTCTGAATAGAAAGCAATTAAAAGGACAAATTGGTCTGATTAACCTCAAAGTCATCCCGCTGCCACAAATGGTGTGCAACATTCAAATTATTATTATTAAAAATCTGGAGCAGATTTGCAGTCTTTTTGGCCTCTCTTAATCCTTTTAAATGAAGGAGCGAACTTTTTTAATTTTAGCTGTGACCTTTCAAAGCATAACCTAGATTTTTCTGCCATAGGAATAATTTTCTCACGTCAGCTTCTGTAGCATGTTAATACTAGTTCTAAGGTCAAATTGAGGGACTTCTCTGTGTTTAGGTGCATAATGAGCAGTGTAAAGATGGAAAGAAGAAAAAAGATGGAATTGTAGGGAGCCAGGATGGACATTATAGTGTTCACCAGTAGGTGAAAATGCATTAATGAGTCAAACGTTGGCTTTTTAATTAAAAACAGCAGAGAGTTTAAAAAAAATATAACACATGTTTAAAGTTCCTTCATGTTATCAGCCTCTCGACTGGCTGTTTGAGTTTGATTGATTAAATGAGGAACTCTCTCTTCCCCCCTTCTCCTTTCCCGTCTTTCTGTCACTCTTCCGTCCTCTTGCTTTCTGGCAAAGATTCATTCACCAGCCGCGTGCTGCAGGTACTTCTGAGAGATGTGACGTTCGGAAAGACGGTTTCATACAAACGCCTCGCCGAGATGGCGGGAAACCCCAGAGCGGTGCGGGCGGTGGGAGGGGCTATGAGGAAGAATCCGGTGAGTATGGTTGACATTGATTGACAGGCTTCTGTCTGTTACTTTATTTAGTCAGACAGGTAAAGTAACTGTTTTTTTTTTTAAACTTTATTAGCGACTTCAATATTTAACACATGCAAGATTAAAGTGTTATGATTAGTTTTTCGGTGAATTTGCCCTTTAATAGAAAAGTAATTTTAAATTATTCTTAGTTTATATGTTGTATTAATAAGTGGAAGCAGATTGCTGTGAACTATAATATTTATTGGGTAGTAATTCATTTTGTAAAAATGACAGAATACATAAAATAGGCAAAGATCACATTTGAGGTCATTTCCTGGTGAGGTATTGTCTCTCCTAGTTTCCTAACTCGTGTGCACGACTGAAGTTTTCCAGTAAAATGCATTTTAAAAAGTTTTCCCTGATGCATGATATGTAATCTAAACTGTAGGCGTGTTCGAGTACGTGCGATGGCGAAATAAACACCTCCCTCTGAGCACAGCTGAGGAGGGAAAGTCTACCTACAGCACGATTTTAAGCCCACACCTTTTGTTCCTGTTCTCTCAAGTCTTTACTGTAGATGTTCGCTGCAAATCTCCGCTTCTTGTAAGAAACCTGGCCCGCATCATTTTGCCCATGAATCCACTGTGTACAAAATGGAGGGCTAGAGGGCAAGTGGTGTGTCTTCTTTTGATCAAACCCTTTGATCAAAGCCTGTTTAACTCTGCCCATGTAGTGCTGTGGGCACCACCGGTGTGCTCTGTGAGGCAGAGAGCACTTCTTGTACAGCAGCCGTGCAGCCAGTGAGATGTTCTCCCTCATATGTGCTTGTGTGCATCCTCGTCTTAGTGCTGGGTCTCCCCTCTCATGCATGTTGTAATTGATGTTGTGTGGGGACAAAAAGTTATTTATAATGAGAGCGCTCAATTTATAACACAGAATAAAATGTAGATGAACTAATTAATAGTGTTCTCTGGATTCTCTGTATACTTTATACATCGCATTAGCCAGTGGCATTGCTGCTAGATGGCCGTATAATAGCGCTCCGATTTAGCATCAGTATGTTTTACAGACATTTCTTTCCTCTCGTCCAGGAGGCTGGGAGCCTGAGCCATCAGCTCCTGATTCAGATCCAGAGTCAGATTGTCAGTGTCAATTACTTGTCAGTAGCACTGCTCCACTCAGGCTTCAGCTGTGAAAAGCTCAGTGTGCTCAATCGATCCTCCCCTCTCTGTGGCACTTCTTCTTCACCAGGATTTGAGTATTGATAAGCCTGGTGTAGTGCTCTTTTCCCCCCCAAGTGAAGAGGCAGATCCGAAGGCCTTGAGGGTACCCTGCTCTCCCTCCAAACCCGGGGAACAGTATTGATCTGAATACTCGAGCAGTATTTCTCTGTCTGCAAGGTTAATCTGGGGCTCGGAAAGTTTTATTGCTGTTGATATGGGAGTGGGTTTAATGATGGATTTGAAGAGAAACACGGTGAATGTTCAACTTTCATATAAAAGGCTGGAGGTGCAATCGTCACGTCAGCCTAACACAGTTACATTGGAGAAATACAGTCACAATGCAGCGGCGGTTGTGTTGCCTTTCCGGTTAGTATAACAAGAACAAAATGAGGGCAACATTAAGAATATTTTAAAAGGAATAATTGCTGTGATTCATTCCCAACCATTGCCACTCTTCTTGTTCTGAATTCACAATGATCGAAGTGTTTTAGGCTTGCTTGTTTAATCTTTCTCCAGCCATTTAGTTTACAAAGAACTCGGGACCCCCCTGGCAGTCGTCTGCAACAAGAGTAAACGCTCCACCGACTTCCTCTTTTTAATGATCACAGGGTTATCAGATCTTAATGTTGACACCCTCTCGATTGAATATTCATCCTGCTGGTGTTTTTGCCCATTAATTTTTGATTGCTTCTTTGCTTTTCACTATTAAAGAGTAAAAAACATTTATACCCAAAGACTGAGCCATCACCCTGAATGTGGATTTGTGCAGGATCAAACCAGACACTTCTGGTGTGGCACTTTGTTTTCATGCAGTTCATGAATATAAAAAGTGCTACAAAAACAAAAGCAGTTCATATTTCCTGCACGTTGGTTACTTTTAAGTCACATCGTTTACGTGCTAAATCAGAGATTCTTTCATACATAATACATATCTACTATCAGCACTTGCAACTATTGTGGTGCTGTGACAATAAATGTCAACCTGAGAATAAGTATTTGATTTTTTTCCAGCGGTCTAATCTGTGTTCCTGTCTTACTCAAATATTACTTTTTGTTCCTCCACATCATAGCTTTTAGGTATTTAAATTTCTAAAGTTTAGTGAAAATGTCCTTTTTTCCCCATAATTCTGACCAAATGTAAAAATAAAGTAGTTACTTTTTATTTAAAAAAACACATTTTAAAAGTGGGCTTTGGTTCTAAAATTGCACATGTTTATTAAATCCCCGTCTCTCTCTCTGTCTGTGCCAGGTTCCTCTCCTCATTCCTTGTCACAGAGTCATTTCTAGCAGTGGACAGAGTGGGCCGTACATGAGCGGCAAGGGCAACCATCTCAAACAATGGCTGCTCACCCATGAGAGGCAGGGAGGGGAAGGCTAAAGCATGACAGAGCCCAACTGTCCTTCAGTCAGTGCACACACGCACACACACATATATATACACACTTACAAGGCCAGGGTTTTTTTTTATTATTATTCTTGTCTCTTTTTTTTTTCTTTTCTTTTCAGAACACAAAACAGGGCCATAAAGTTTTCCTTGCTTGGCACACACCGTGGAACAACTGGAGTAACTTGTAAATATTCAGTTTATAATCCTTTTTTTTTTTTAAATCTAAGAATAGAGATGCTGCATAGTTAATGTGATACAGAGTTGTTGCAGAATTAGAATGTACAAAAATAACTTAAACAGAGAACAGTAGGAATTACAAACATATGCTCCCGTGGGTCTCCGTTGCGTTTGCCAGATAGTGCTTGGAATGGTTTTTCTAAAGAATTATTATTCCCTTAAAAATATGTCTCTTGCATTGTTGTTGTTGTTATTTTTTTTCCTAAGCAGAATTAGTCTTTGTACCTCTCGTTGGTTTTTTAATTTCCTGCCAAGTGAATGCTTTGTTCAACATCCAGTGATAAAGGCTCTGAATTTTACGGCTACAAAGCTTTGTAGTGAGGCATTTGTTTTGTCTTCATTTAGATCTCATTGTTTGCTCTCGCCTTATAATCCACCTCGAGTGGAGAGTTGTCCTATGCATTTTATACTGTACTTTTGTTGCGTTAGACATGTTTAAATAAATCTGTCTCAAACTGACAAAATCCCGTCTTTTCATCATTTTAATTGCGTTTAATTTAAAAAGTGATTTCATGTAGCATTCACTCAGTTCAGCTCATGATTAATTATGCTGTACGTCTCTCTCCTTGCTGCTGCTCTGTATGTCACAGCTCCTTCTTTTTTATTTCTGAGGGGTGTTTTCCATTAGAGGGCAGTACAGAACGGGAAACAGAAATCAACATTTCAACCTTGAATTCATCCTGAGCGTTTAAACTGTAATATAAATGTTTATATCCTTTCTTAAAAAAAAAATAAAAAAATCACCACAACATTATTTCACCCCTTTGGGATATCTTTTTTCCTTCTTAAAAAAAAAACACCATATGGAGAGGGCAGCAGCAGCGGAGGTGCATTTAGAAAAATCTGTTACTTTAATTGAATTTGCCCTTTAGTTTTATTTTCGGCGTTTTCTCGCAGTGATATTTGTAACAGTGACAGTTTATCCTTTTTCCCTTAAATTCGTGATTCTCCTCACTGTCTAATGAAACTCCAGAGTGACCCTTACTTGCCCATAGTTATTCCTCTTCTGTTCAGCCCAGGTAGCCTAATAATCCACCCTCCAAAAATAACCTCAGCTCTAACCTTTGCAGAACCAATTCAAGTGGCCCTCTCACTGAATACATTTGAACTTTGCTGCATTTTTGAATTTCTTATCCGATCAGCTCCGTGTGGCTGTCTTGCCGTGCTGCTGGACTCACTTACTCTGCCATTGGAGCACCATCGCAGCGTAAATGTTGAGGCAGCAGACAGGCAGATGAAGAATGAGACTCAGTCTGTGGTTTCACAGAGGGCTAATGATGCCTGTGGTGACTACAGGCTACAGTCAGCCCCCTAACGAAGGGAGCTGTGACACAGCCACAAGGGGTCCCATTTAAGCCAGGCGCACTCTGAAGTGCACTGTAAGCACCCTCCTTTTTTTTGCTTGTGGCTAAGTAAATTCTATGGAATGCTATGAATTTAGCAACCAGAGATACTGATGTCTGTAGAGTGCTGTGGTTGATGTTAAAAAACAAGTCCAGCATCAAAGCTTCTGACATGCTGCCAGTAATTGGCCGCGTAATTTGCGGAGGTACCGAAGGAGTCTCCTAAAAATAATTCGCACCTTTTATTTTGTCCAGTTTTACACTCTTGAGATATTTTAGCATTTATCGGTAACAGTGTTTTTATTATTACATCTGTATTGTTTTGTTGTCGTGCTTTCACCTTGCATACCGCTTCCATATCACGCTGGCTCAGAGATAAAAAGGAATTAGATTAAAAGACGCTGAGACGATCTCATCATCCGCACTGTTAATCTCTGTGAAACCTTTAATTTTGGCCTAATATCTGCCTCCATTTCATAGAGAAAGACTATATAAGTGCATGTGTGCGTGAGCATGTGGCCTTGCATGTTGGTGTGCGCACATGTGTATGTCCATATGTGTGTGGGTGAAGTGGATGATATTGAGTCTGACTTCATAAATCACCCAGACACTGATAAACTCCCCATGCACCCACACACCGCTAATGGGCAACCCTTAAGGAGTGTGAGTGTCTCGTGCGGCGTTTGATTCAACATTTATTAACCCCCTCACACACACTCTCTCCCTCACATACGACACACACTCATTTGAGCCCCAGAAAGAGCGAGGATATGGTTGGTGGCATCCGTAGCGGTAGCGCGGGGTTTTGACCTGGCCGGGCTGTATTAATCATGGCCAATAGTGGTAAGGTACGTTTTGGCTTATAGCGCCACAACAACAACAGCCTCTGCATTTCCTAACATTAGTTTCCCTCTCATAACTTATATCCTGTCTCCAACTCCCTACTTCCCATCTCATATCCTGGCACCCCTCCTCATTATAGAACAATTTTCTGCCCCCACATCAAATACAAACACACTCTGTGCTTCCATCTCCTTCTCTTCATACATGTCGGCTCATAATTCTAATGTTATCACAACCTGCACCCCTTGGTACGAGGCGCAAGCTTAGTGGGGACTCTGCGCAAGTTAATTCTGCAGCCGCTCCGGTGATCGATAAACAGCTGCTTTTATCCTTCCAGAGAAGTTTGTATGTTTGAAATGAATAAAAGTAAGACTTTTTGGAACGTGTAACTCAGCTGCAAGCCGTGCTCTGTTCCTGGGAACACAGAAGGAGTATCCGGCATGCAGATAGGCAATGTCCAACAGTGAGTCAGAGAGATAGACGCAGGGATAGATAGCTGGATAGACAGACATTAGACTGGGGCTTGGCTGCACTATCAGGTTTCCTCCCCCTCTGTCTGTCTGCCGGGACAGCCTGGCCTCAGAGGCCCTGACACCGAGGCACCACACAGCCAGCCACGACAGCTGCCACAGCAGCATCTAATACCAACACACTCCATGCTATGCCACGACTACAAAGAGAAATAGCGTTTCAAACATGGCATACTTTGATGCTCTTGTAATGATCTTTGTGTTTTGAGAGAGAAAGCGAGGGGACAGAGGATTCGTATGGTGCGCCGTCTATTTTTTTTTTCCTTTTTCTCGTTTCTTTAGAACAAAGAGACTCCTCTCAACACGAGAAAGTTTAAAACAGTGTTGATGAGATGGAGCCGGATTAAATGAGAACGTAAAAGAAACCCTGAGCGGTATCAGCATGCGAGCGCGCGCGCGTTCGTAACCTTGTATCAGCATGTCATCGTAACCTCGTGAACTCGAGCGTCGGTCTGGGGGTCTCTAATTAGGAACGGCTGATGAACGGCCATACATTATGTGAGAGCGGGGGCCTGTGAGCGTGTATCCCTCTATGTATCAATCTGTGACTGTGCCGGGTGGCTGTCAGAGTGGTAAGGAGAGTGTCTCAGCCTGGAGAAAGTGCAGGTCTAGCCTTGGTCATGTTGACGGAGGGGGCGGCACTTCAGAGGCTCCAGGACCCCATGGCACCAGTCTCCCCAGTCCCCCAGACAGACTGGGAGCATCTGGGCTCTGTCAGCGCCTCTGGCCCCTGCAGACTCCGATCTATATGACGAGGGAGAGGAGTGCATTGGATCAGCGAGAGGGAAAATATGAGCCAGATTCCTCGACTTGTGAGAAAAACCCGCGTTGCCAGTTTGCATGTAACACGTGGACGCATGTGTGGCTGCGTTAAGGCCTTATAACAGGTCACAGTGATTAAATTTGTATGATGTGAGATGTGGGGTATTGATTAGCGACTAATGCTGAAAAAGTCCTTTTTAAAAACTGTCCGATTAAGTATTAATTAAAAGTATGCCACGAAAAAATATGCGAAGCCTGTTCTGAGTAAAAACATCAAGATAAGACTGATAGATATCATTCCAGACTTTCCTATGAAAGCGAGCAATGATTTGATCAAGTAGATATAACTCTAAGCTGTGCCACATGAAAACTGATATACACACACTTGCCAAGACTAATTAATCCATACACTAAATTAGGAATATAAATCGCGGTCCCAATTTAACAAGGTCAGCTTTAACTTCTCCCTTTACACTTTTATTTAACTGTGTAGTTGCGGGAAAAAAGAATCCCTATCAATGTGCTTCGCTTATTATGATTGACGATTGATGATTAAGTCCTCCAGCTGACACACACCACCAAAGCCGGTGAGTTGGAATTGGATGTGACACATACACAGTTCTGCGTGTTAGGTAATTCGTTGACGAGGGGCCAAATTCATTTATGGAACAGCGGTATTGGCAGGCATGGACACTCTCTGCAAAAACAACGATAATCACAGAGGTTTGGCGCGGCGTGACAAGGACTCTTCAGGGAAAGGCCCTTACACGCTGCTTTGTTGGCCGTTCCTCCCTAAGATGGAGGGAAACATCCGCCACTGTTCTTAAGATGAGAGGCGCTCAGAGCAGGAGGAAAGAGGTTTATGTAAGGTGCGGAAGGGCTTCATTAGCATTCGTAATATCTGAAATGTCCAAATTTTTATCAATATAAATTTAACTACTCGCTGCTTTTTTTCGGAGGGAAGAAGTGAGTGATATTCTTTCCTTTTTTTCTCCTTTTTTTTGGTTCAATTGATGAAATAAAGGCTCTGATAAATCCTCTGTAATGAAACATGAGGGGGACCCTGTCTCAAGTCATTTAATCTCTTTTCACATTCTCCATTTTTTCTGCTAATGAGCCTTATTGACAATCAAACAGAAGCTGTCATCCCCCAGGATGCAACACTCCCAGCCCCTGCGTGTTTGTCATAGTGTCCTGGCAATCAGAGCTGCCTGCAAGACCAGGCTGGCAGTTAGTGGTTCTCACAGCAGCGCTGCCTGAAAATGGCACACTTCCTGTAGAGTTGCAGCTGCCACCTCTGCTACTTCCATTACTTTCTATAGCATGCAGATGTTGTATCAACATTCCCTGCCAAGGGGACTGCAATAACTGTGAGATTCATGCCATGTTTCAGAGGCACGTCAATTTCTCAAGTGGGACAATTAAAGAGGGAAATACAGTACCAGGTTTTTCACAGCCGCTGAAATCGGAAAAGGGCTTTTTTCACGTTTTTTTCCAAAGGGTGGCTGTTTCATAAGGGTTCAGAAATCCACCCGATTTTTACTGCCCTTTTCCTGAGTCGAGCTGTTCTGTGAGCCTTTGTGCGGCAGACCTGTTGTGACCCACAGCGGATATGGAAATGGGGCTAAGGTTTTATGGGCCAAACGGATTGGACACAGTCAAGCTCAGGGGGCATGAATATTGGATGTTATTTCTGCTCCCTTTTTATGTAATCCATTGCCAATACATTATTAATAGATGATATCATATCCAGAACTACTGGACAAAGCACTACAGAGGAGTACTATGAAAGGAGCTCTATGTGGTGGAGACTGTGGCAGAAAAATACTGTTCAAGTGATATTATTTTATCACTGCAGCCTAGCACTCCCTGACCAGGCAATCTTTTATAGTGTAATTTTTGGGCTAGGTGAAGTTCATGGAAGGAAAGTACGGTGAATGCTCTATTTCTACCGCGGGTAAATCCTGCATTTGTGGGTTTG